CTTCAGTTGATTTTGACCCCTGATGACCCTATAGCTCAGGGTAGAAATGGCCTTGTGGGTTTCCAAGACTGTAACTCTTTATGGGAGTGGAGAGACTCATCTTTCTCCTGTGGAGTGGCTGGTGGTTTTGAACTGCTGACCTTCTGGTTAGCAGCCAACGTGTAACCCACTAAGCCACCAGAGTTCAGACTTTATGATGCACAGTCTAACCTAGAGGAAATCAGGGACACAGAGAAAGATGGAATCGAGTCAAGGCAAAGTTGGAAGGAAATGGCCTGGTGTGACTATGCTGCCATTGATAAAAAGTGCTGCTGAACAAGGGAAGTTCTGGATAAAGGTGTACAACTGTGCCAAGGAAGGTCAAGGGGATGAGATATGGGGGCCGTGGGAAAGAAGTACCGCCCACCCCCACTCCAATTGACCTTATGTGATCCTTTTCAGAGCAGTTGGTCATGGTAGCAAGGTGCCATCTACTTCTTCTGGTCTCAAGGTTGTGGAGACTAATGTTTGCAGGGTCCATTAATCCAGTAGACTGAGGAAAACTGAGCTTCAGGGAATGCTGCATCATTGAGCCAAGTAAGGACCAAGTGGAAACCCTGGGGAACCTGAGAAAAGGGGGCTCACTGAACTCTGGAGACACCACTGAGTTATATAGGAAGTGGAAAAAGCTCCGCTTCCATGTTAGTCTGGGTTGACTAGAGGAACAAATTCATAAATTCTCTTATGTGTGTAAGAAAGAGCTTTATATAAAACAATTGTATATTGAGAAAACAGCTCAGCTCAGTCCAGATCAAGTCCATAATTCTGATATTAGCCCATATGTTCGACACTAGTCCATAAATTCCTCTTTAGACTCACACAGCACATGCAATGATGCTGATTACAGGAAGATCACAGGCCAGTGGGCAGAAAGTCTTGTGGACCCAGTGGCAGTGGAAGTATCTCAATTCTGGCATGGCTTCCATGTGCCTCCTCCAGCTCTCTGAGTGTCTCAACAGCAGGGGAAGGTGTGGATCTGGCCTCCAGTTAACTATTTGTCTCCGTGTTGCCTCCAAATGAGGTCATTAAGCTGTGACCTGATTGACAGGCTAGACTCCACCCCTTTGCTCAAGTTGACAGACTATGTAACTGCCACACCTCCTCTATGCTAACCCAGCCACTCAATGGGAGAAAGATGAAATTTTCTATTCCTGTATAGATTTACATTTTCAGAGACCCATAGGGGCAGTTCTACTTTGAACTATAGAGTTCCTATAAAAGCTTTCTTTGCCTTTTTTGGAGGTGGGGGTAGGGCGGGGCGGTGGACTGGGTCCCTCTAGAAAAGATAATTACCGAGTCTACATGTATCCACTCACAATATAACTACAGAATCCCATCAATTATAGACACGCTTAAACAAGTTTTGTTTGCAATAAGTCAGGGAAAGTGTAACCTAGAGTCCTGCTAACAATAGTTTGTACTCACTTTCATTTACAAACAGGGTAGTATATACGCGTTTAGTTTGTTCCTACTCACACACACATTTCCTAGCTCTTTCCACAAGTGCTGCATGGACTTCTTTGAGGATTAGCACAAGGCTGGCCCTGTGAGGGAGAGTAAATATGTCCCAAATGCCAAATGTCTCCCAAAGGTTGTACTTGCATGTCGAAGAGAACAGCCTGGGAGTAATGGGGGGAGGGTTGGGGGCTTGTGAGCGGCAAAGGAAGAAAGATGAAGAAAGAAGCCTAGAGGGTTGACAGGTGTTGACTTGGGTGAAAGGGTAGATGGAGGACAAGAGGAGAAACAGGAGGGGGGTTGTTGATGAGTAGTTTGAACTGCTGTATGCAGAGTTGATGACCACTTCAAAATTTTAAAAGGCGGGAGATATTCTTATATATTGGATGCATACTGAAGCCCTAAGGAAACTAACTGTGGTGACTTGAGTTACACCTGGAATAAGGCAGGAACTCAAGGTATATCCCACCTGGACTCTGCCTCACTAACTTAACAACTACAAAATGGAGCCATAGTCAGAAAGGGCAAGTGTACACATCAAAGAACAGAGGAGTGGGACTAGAAGGGCCACATTAAGTCACTTTCTGCACTGTAAGGTCTTATCTAAAAGCATACCTGATAATCAAATCTTTATTTCTAACTTTCATTCTCTAATAAAGGAAAACAGGTTGCCTGGAGAAAAGTCTGAGGGCAAGTCATGGGCAGGAAAAGGACAAGACGAGCCTTGAGCACTGCAGGAAAACAATGTAAAAATTATATCATTGGCACACATCACAGCAAAATACCAGAGCCTACTAAAGGGAATGCCAAAGACCACATTCCAGGCAACCTAATCAAAATACAGATAAAAAACAACTTAATAAACAAAGGGGAGAAGAAAAAGAACTCCCTGCAGAATTCTAACTAATAAACATAAGAAGTAATTGGAACAAAAAAATACCTCCTAGCAAAAAGTACTGTAATAATAAGCATGGGCAATATTTATTAATGGTGACAAATTAGTAGACCAGATTACAATAAACACCAATAATTTGCACAGCTTCAGAGCTGTGTTCTATGATTAATTAATTACAAAGGGAAAGATGGTTAAATTTATAATATATGAGAATGGAAAACAAAATAAAAATTATAAAAGCAGAACACTCATATCAAAATCAAGAAGAACGTATTTTATTGATGGAAAATAACATGAATAAAACATTGCACAGTATAAAACATTGGTCAAAGCTATTCACTACAGCTTTATTTGTAATAGTCAAAAAAGTTAAGACGGGTATGATTTACCTTACATTGATAAAGTAACAAACATTGATGTGGACTGCCTGGTAGTTAGTTCTCTTGAAACTATCATTTTTCCTGAAAGCACAAAGCATCTCTAATAACTTTCTTTGTGTGTGTGTGTGTGCGTGCCTTAGCACTGTTTTCTTACTCAAGGAAAAATTTTATTTCTCAGACTTTCATGAACTTGTTTAAAACTATGCTAGGAAGGATAAGACATCCTACTTTTGAAATAGTATAGTTCCTCCACTGTGAGATCTTATATGTCAAGTGAGGTATTCCCGTTCATTATATTCATAAAACTTGTCTCAAATATGAATTCTACTATGTAAATCGAGGTAAGAGGAACTCCTAAATGTTTTGCCACACTCATTACATATATAGGGTGTTTCTTCTTCATTGTGAGTCTCTATATGTGCAGTGAAGGTTGAGAGTTGCCTAAAGACTTTTCCACATTCCTTACATTCATAGGGGGTCTCTCCTTTATGTGTCCTTACATGAGTAGTGAGGGTTGAGAGCTGTCTGAAGGTTTTCCCACATTCCTTACATTCATAAGGTCTCTCTCCACTGTGAATCCTTAAATGTGTAGTGAGGGCTGAAGAAGTTATAAAGGCTTTCCCACATTCATTACATTCGTATGGCCTCTCTCCACTGTGAGTCCTTAAATGTGTGGTGAGGGCTGAAGAACAAACAAAGGCTTTCCCACATTCCTGACATCTATAGGGCCTCTCTCCACTGTGTGTTCTGATATGTTTAGTGAGGGAGGGGGCATAACGAAAGGCTTTGCCACACTCGTTACACTCGTAGGGCCGCTCTCCATTGTGAGTCCTTAAATGTATAGCTAGGGCTGAAGACCAATGAAAGGTTTTCCCACACTCATTACATTCATAGGGCCGCTCTTCACTGTGAGTTCTTACATGCTTAGCAAGTGATGGAGCATGATTAAAGGCCTTCCCACATTCTTTACATACGTAAGGCCTCTCTCCATTGTGAATCCTTATATGTAAAGCGAGGGTTGCGGACTGCCTGAAGACTTTCCTACATTCGGTACATTCATAAGGCTTCACTCCATTGTGGGTCCTTGTGTGTCTAGCGAGGGTTGAGGGCTGACTAAAAGCTTTCCCACATTCCTTACATTCATATGGTCTCTCTCCGCTGTGAATCCTAAAATGTGTGGTGAGGGATGAAGAACAACTAAAGGCTTTCCCACATTCGTTACACTCATAGGGCCTCTCACCACTGTGACTTCTTATATGTGTAGTGAGGGTTGAAGAACAACTAAAAGCTTTCCCACACTGATTACATTCATAAGGCCTTTCGCCAGTGTGAATTCTTATATGCGTACTGAGGGCAGAGAGCTGCTTAAAGGCTTTTCCACATTCCTTACATTCATAAGGTCTCTCTTCACTATGAGCTCTTATATGTTTAATGACAGCTGAGGAATCACTAAAGGTTTCCCTACACGTCTTATAATCGTAAGGTCTGTCTCTAATGTGAGTTCTTATATGTTCAGTGAGGGAAGAGGCCACACTAAAGGCTTTTCCACACTCTTTACATTCGTAAGGCCTATCATTGTGAAATGTTCTATGTAAAATGAAGGATGCAGGGCAGCTATAGGTTTCACAACATTCCTTACGTTCATAACGGCATCTCACATGTGTCCAAAAGGAGGAAAAACTACAAAAACGTTTCCCACACTCATTGCATTTATAGGGTTTCTCCCCAGTCACCGTTGCCACAGAATCCTTCAATGTTGAAATACAAATGAACTCCTCCTCAAATCCCTTCAATTTATGGGATATCTCTCCATTAAACGTTTTCATAGGAGTGTTTAGGTGGGAAGGACAACTGCAGGCTTCTCCACATTCCTTACACTGACAGGTACTGAATCCAGTCTGAGATGTCACATGTTGCTCTTGTAGGGGGTGATCCAAAGCTTTCTCATACCCAATGCATTGAAAAGGATTGACTTCTGAAGGATTTCTTTGTAGTATAGCATGGTCTGGAATCAAGCTGAAGGTTGTCCCACACTGATTGCCCTCATTGCATTCATAGCAGTTTGCTGCTATATGAATTCTTTTGAAAACTGGCAACACGCTGTTGGAAATAAATCCATTCACATTTCATCATAAGCACATATATATCACATGGTTTTTGCAACCTGCTTATTTCAGTGGTTTATACATTTAGCATAAAATACTACTGTTAGTGGCTTTCTAAAATAAGTGTCTTTCTGATGATAATTATGTCTAATGGAATTTTTTTCAAATACTTGCTATCTGACACATCTGTGAACATGCTCCTAAGACACACTTTCCCAGCTACATGTATTGGTGTTACTGGTCTGCATTTAGTGGTCTTTACTCTTAGTACCTCCACGTATTATGAAGTGAAATCCTCCCCACCTGGTGTTTTGGCATCTTCATGATTGTTGCAGGCATGGGGTAAGTGATTCCAACTGAGACTCTTCTTTTTTTCCTGACCCTTTGTCAAGTTTTCTCTCTCTCTTTACACACACACACACACACACACACACACACACACACACACACATAGTCATGACACTAGGAATTTCTCATGAGGCACTGTTTCCTCTGGCCTGAATGACACTTACCTCAAATAGCTCATCTGGTTTTCAAGCTGATCTTCATTGTCATGTGATTCACAGACTTCTTCTAACATGGAAGACCAGGTGCTATTTTTCATGAACTGCACCATTATATGTTCTATGGATAAATTTTCTCCATCATTACGATTTTCAGAGACTGACCCAATAATTCAAGTTGAAATTCACAACATGAAACAAAAATGGAAAAGAATTATAAAGGAGAAAAGGATGCTGTGAAAAAAGACATAAATTGTTTTGAAAATGGTGGTGGCAGCAACTGTACAATTATGCTTGATGTAATAGAATTATGGATTGTTATAATATTTGTAAGAGCTCAAAATAAAATGATTTTAAAAAATAAAAAAATGAATAAAAGGGAAAAAAAGACATGCATCACATTTTTCAAGTTCAGTATATTGGTAATGGTTTAAAAACAATTGCGCATGCAATGATCTCAGAAAGACTGAGAGGGCTAGTGACACACACAGGTGTGCTCAGGAGCGCTAAGTCTATGGCACTGGCTACATTCCTGATGTCACATTAAAAAGGGGAAAGGTCTCCGTTACAATTGTGACAGGATTGCTGAAATCAGAAAAATAAGCACAGCCACCTGTGAAACTGTATCCTCAACCTAAGAGAGAGTTTTCCTTGATGACTGATTACAATGTAATTAATTCCCTGAATCCTGGGCTGCTCCTTTTAAAAAGTTCTAGCTTTCCTGGTACACACCAACACAATAACCCTAAAAAGAGTTTCATCTCCACTACACTTGCAATTCTAGAAAAACAAATGGCTACAGGTGATACGATGCTTATGCAGAAATGTACATCATGAGAGAAGGCAGTGCAAAGCAACATTACCCTGACACTGAATCAATACTCTGATTTCCAGGGTGACTGAAAATGGACTAGTATGAGTGTATCTGCAGGAAAATATTCATGTCTAACTTGGAATAAACGCAGCAAAACTCTAAGTCCCCACACCACAAATCTGCCTCTGAAAGGGACTCCTGAAGACAAACTAGACACTTAGTAAATAGTCTCAGAGTTTTTAATCACAACAGAAATGAAAACTCACTTTTACTACTTGAGTTTTATGTATATAAGGCAGTAATACTAATTGAGCCCTACAGAGCAAGAAGCCATCTGTTTTACTCAATAATTTATTCTCATTTTTAAATCCAGTTAAGCAAAGTTGAGTAGTAAATACTTTTGTTCACTAAAGGAATAACAATAATGAAAAGGTGCAATTCTTACCTATTGAGGCAAAATTTCTGAACGTGTCCATCATCACATCTCTGTAGAGTTTCCTCTGAGAAAGACCCAGCATTGCCCACTCATCCTGGCTAAAGACCACAGCCACATCTTCAACAACCATGGGTTCCTAAAATATCCACACATGCTGGATCAGCAAGGTGCCATGTATACAAGAATGATGCTAAGATCTATCTGACAACAGAAACTATATTCCTCATTCCTCTCTGAATCTGGCATGCATGTTTGACAGCTTCTGCGGTACTGCTGAAACAGTGAATTGTCTTCAGCAAAATTATACTTGAAGGGGACATTAATGACATTGTTCAATAATGTATGTATTCTGATGGGCGTCTTTCTTTAGAATGAGCACAAATGTAAATTCCTTCCAGATGGTTGGCCAGGTAGCTGTTTTCCAAATATCTTGGCAAAGACCAGAGGTTGGCAAACTACTACTGACAAGTCATATGGGGCTCCTATGGTATGTACATGTGGCTCTAAAGTAAAGTTGAAAGTGAAAATAAAACTACTATTCAGATAATAATGATTTCATTTATTGGTAAAAATCTATCTATGGCTCTTGAATAATTTTTAAATTGTTATGAGTGGCAGAATTGGCTCTTCTGTCTCAAAAGTTGGCCAACCCCTGATATAAACTAATAAGTGCTGCATTTGTTTGTGGAAACACTTCAATTGGTAATCTATCAATTCTTGGAGCTTTGCTTCCCTCAGTGTTTTCAATGCAGGTTGGACTGAATGCTTTCAATACCAACAGTTCTTGATTATATGCTACTTCTTGAAATCGCTGAACATTGACCAAGTCTGTTCATCAGTGACTGTATTCTTCCCATTTTTTGATACTGTATCATTCAATATTTTGCACATAGAATCCTTCAACAATACAAATTAAAAATGGCCTTTTCCTTCACTTTCCCCAACTTGAGACATGTTGTGTTGTACACCTTCGTTTTCTAATTGTGGTATTTGTACATTTCGTTGTAATATTTACTTAATCTTTTTGAGTTGCCCTTTGAAACTTCCTGTCCAGCTCTTTTATTTCATCATCTCTTCCATTTGTTTTAGCTACGCTAAGTGCAAGAGCAAGTTTGAGTCTTTACAGATATTTCCTTTGATTTTTTCTTTTATTCATGTCTTTTTAATGATCTTTTACCTTTTTCATGTATGATGTTCTTGATGTCATCCCACGGCTCATCAGGTCTTCTTTCAATAGTGTTCAAAGCATGGAATTGGCTCTTGGAGATTCAGAATTCAAGTGAGACATACTCAAGGTTGTACTTTGGCTTTTGTGGGCTTGTTTTAATTTTCACGAGTTTCAACAACTTATAGGTGGGCAATTGATAGCATGTTCCCGAAACTGCTGCTCCTGGGCTTGTTCTGGCGGATGACATTGAGTTAGCTTCTCCATCATCTCTTTGCACAGAAGTAGGTAGTTTGGTTACGGTGTATTATATCTTGTAAGGTATGTGTATAGTAGCTGCTTATGTTGGCTTAAAAATTGTATTTGTAATAAAGAAGTCACTGTTCTTGCCAAATTTGATCATGTAATCTCTAGTTTCATTTCTATCACCAAGGACATAGTTACAAGTTTTGTTTCCAAAATCTTGTATTCCAATTATCAATGCATCTGATTGCAATGTTTGATCAAGCTCACACTGGAGAAGTTGGGAAAATTCTGTTCTTAGTCTGGAGGCTCTACTGAAATGTGTAAACCATGGATAACCCTCCTGGTATTTGCCATGCCCATGGTTTATGTTCCAGCATCACAACAAAAGGAAAGGCACCGCAATATGACAAACTGACAGGTGAGTGGTGAAGACGGTTTCTGGCACAATTTAAAACACAAAAGTAATTCTCATATAACAATTATACAATGTCCTCTGAGAACCCTTTCATTTTCATTTTACTTTTCTTCACTTACCAAGGTTTTTAAACTTATACTATTAATAATCAGGTCTTAGAAATTCACATTTATATTTAGTAGAATAAGGTGGTAAAATCTAATTAATGGCCACAATCTAAATTTTCATTCATGGCAGCACAGTTGAAAAACAGAACCCCAAAATTAATGTCAATTGTGTGTAGCATTTTGGAATTGTATACAAGAATTTATTTTAAGCACTGCATGTGCTGCTATGAGAAGACCACCCAAAAAACATGTTCATTAAAAAGCATAAAATACCTTATGTAACGAAAGAAGATAAGTAAAATAGTTTCCAGAATAAATATAAAAATATTCATTCATTTACTGTTAGGGCATGACTCAAAATTTGACGAAACAGCTGCAAACATCTATTAGTAATTGGAACTTGTAAGAGAATTACTTGATTTCCTATAAACATAGACAAGATGCTTCTGAATATAATAAAGTTGTTTATTTAACAAAGCTGAACGAAGAAAGTTGAGTTAGATGAACAATCATTCTTAAAATATACTTTCAAGTTAATACTGAGTTTCGAATTTTGGGTGTAACACATATTGGAAAAATAGAATTTCAGTACAACTCACTGTAGAGTTAATTTAGATTTATGGTGACCCTATGTAAGACAGAGTAGAACTGCCCCTCAGGTGGCCAAGGCTGTGACACACTGAAGGAGTAGGAAACCTCCTCTTTCTTCTGCAGAGCAGCTGGTGACTTTGAACTGCTAGCCTCGCTTTAGCAGCCCAAGCTTAATGCACCATGCCACCTAATTTCAGCAAACAATATTGTACGACAGGGTACCCCCCAAAAAACGAAATGTTTTTTTCAAAGCTATATATTTAAATATTTTTTAGAAAACAACCCTATCACCCTCAAGGTACTCTACATGATACTAATACATTTGTCAGATCTTAGATTCCACTCTTGAAAACAGTGTTCAAACTCATGTGTTTGGATGACTGACAGCACCTTCCTTGTTTGTTTCTTCACCACTTCTACATCATCAAACCACTCTCCTTTCATGTCCCTCTTCAATTGTGGAAACAAAAAGAAGTCACACAGAGCGAGGTCAGGCAAGTAAGGTGCATGGAGCAAGAGAGTCATGCTTTTTTTTTCTTCCCCCAAAACTGGCACATTGAGATGGCTGCATAAGCAGGTGCATTGTCGTGGTGGCAAAACCAGTCCCCTGTCTGCCACAAATCAGGCTTTTTTGTACACTATTATGCATCTTTTCAGAACCTCTAAGTAGAAAGCTTGATTAACAGTCTGAACTGGTGGAATGAACTCCAAATGCACTATCCCTCTACATAAAAAAAACCCCCAAACAAACAAACCCAAATGAGCATCATCTTGATCTGTGATTTCACTTGATGAGCTTTTTTTGAGCGAGATGACGACGGCATCTTCCATGGGCTTGACTGATGTTTGCTTTCATGGTGGTAAGTATAGTAGTATGTCTCATCACCATAACAACCTTGGAAAAAGTCTGGGTTGCTTTGGAGCTGTTGTTTCAAAGCACAACGTTTCCACTCGATGCTCTTTTGGCTGGTCAGTCAGAACCAGAGGCACAAATTTCACAGTGACTCTTTTCATTTCCAAATCATCTCTTAAAATTTGCTGAACTGAGCTCCAAGATAGTCCAGATAACTTCCCCATCTCTTCAATGGTTCATTGTTGGTCTTCAACCATGAATTTTGTCAACATTTTCGTCTTTTTGGGAAGTTGATGGACATTTAGAATGAGGTATGTCATCAATTGACATTGCACCTTTTTAGAAATGAGAAAACCACTTGTGCACTTGAGTTTTCCCTATAATGCTGGCCTTGTAAGCTGTGTTGAACATCACAACAGTGTCTGTGGGGTTTTGTTCCCAAGCAGGAAACAAAAAAGTTCACAGCTGCACGCTGTCCTCTTAAATTGGCCATTACAAAAGTTGAAGTTCGCGTGAAATTGCTTTTATGAAAAAATTCATTGTGATCAGAGAGAACCTTCCCAGATGACACCATTGGACGCACTAACAGAGCGAGTTGCTGGCTGCTTGCTTAGCGGGGAAAATGCATACTACAAAAGCTCTGCCCAGCAGAGCTTTTTTTCCGTTGGGGGGATGCCCCCTCATATTCTCCTCTGCTTGTCAGTTTGTTGTACTGTGGTGGCTTACGTGTTGCGGTGATGCTGGAAGCTATGTCACTGGTATTTCAAATACCAGCAGGGTCACCCAAAGTGAACAGAACAGAGCTTCCAGACTATGAACAAGAAGGAATAGGCTGTCCACTTCAGAAGAATGAGCCACTGAAACCCTCATGGACAGCAGACCAACACTGTGAAAAACAGTGCTAAAAGATGGCCTCTCAGGTCGGAAGGCACTCAGATGTGGTGCGGAAGGAACTGCCTTCTCAAGGTCGAGTCTACTACAATGACTTGGAGCCAAGCCTTTGGGACCTTCACTTCCTTTTGGAGCAGGACAAAATATGAGAACAGCTGCAAATGCTTATTAATAACCAGAACTTGGAATGTACGAAGAAGCTAAAAATGTTAAAATCATCAGAAATGAAATGGAACGCATAAAGATCAGTATTATAGGCATTACTGAGTTGAAATGGACTTACATTGGCCATTCTGGATCAAAACATCTTACGGTTTAATATGCAAAGTATGAAAAATTCAAGAACAGCTTCTCATTCATTGTCAAAAATGACATCTTAAAATACATGGTGCTGTCTGTGGTAGGGTATCTATTTGTGTACAAGGAAAGTCAAGTTTATGCACCAACCACTAAATCTAATGATGCAGATATTGAAAATTTTAACCAACTTCTTCAGTCAGAAAATTATCGAGCATGCAATCCAGATGCAGTGATAATTATTGGAGAACGGAATGCAAAAGTTGAGAAACAAAGGAGGAGCAATCATTGAAAAAGATGGCCTTGGTGACAGAAACAAAGCTGGGAATCATATGATAGAATTTTGCAAGACCAACATTGTCTTCACTGCAAATACTTTTCTCCAACAAGATAAAAGGCAAGTATACACATGGACTTTTCAGACAGAATGCACAGAAATCAAATGGACCACGTTTGTAGGAAGGGGTCATGGAGACGCTCTATAGCAGCAGCTAAAAGAAGGCCAGGGCCCATGTGTGGAGCAGACCATTAATTGCTGACATGTAGGTTCAGGTTGAGCGGAAGAAAATGAAAATATGTGGAGGAGAGCCAGAACACTTCCTCGTGTCTGTCTCACCTGAATGTCAAGAACCCCTTAAGAAGAGCTCTGATTTCTGAACACTAGTGTACGAGACCCGATGCCCTGAGGGAGGACCTCAAGAACAGCACATGTGAACAAAGAAAAAGGTCCTTAAACAGATGGAAAGATCAAAGTGGTATTCTGAAGCTGCTCTTAATTACAGAGTAACTACAGCAATCTGAAGAAATGACAAAGTCAAACAGTGGAATAGAAAATGTCCAAGGGCAGCTGAATGAGCCAAAGTAAAATATTACAATGAAATGTGCAAAGACCTCCAGTTAGAAACCCAAAAGAAAGAACACACTCAGTGCGTCTTAAACTGAGAAAACTCAGGAAAAATTGCAATATTGAAAAAGTCTATTGGCAAAATATTGGACAATGTAGGAAGCCTTAAAAAGAAAAAGATGGAAATAATACGGCCTCCCAAAAAGAACTAGTTTGACATTCCAACATTTAGGAGGCATCATATGAGCAGGAGCCAATGGTATTCAAGGAAGAAGTCCAGGCTGCCATGAAACATTAGCCAAAACAAGCCTCTAGAAATTGATGGGGCTGCTGAAGCAATGGAAGCATTCGCTGGTCTATGATAGGAAATTTGGAAGACAGCTACATTGCCAACTAACTGGAAGAGATGCATATCTGTATCCAGTCCAAAGATAGCTGATCTAACAGAATAAGTAAATTAAAGAACCATATCATTAATATCACATGCAAGTAAACTTTTGCTTTAACTCATCTAATAACAGTTGCAGCAGTACATTGACCAAGGGCTGCCAGAGGTTCAAAAAGATAAGAAACAAGGGACATCATTATTGACATCAGATGGATCTTGGCTGAAAGCAGAGAACACCAGAAAGATGTTTATTTGTGTTTTATTGACTATGCAAAGGCATTCAACTGTGTAAATTATAACACACTCTGGACAGTCTTGCGAAGAATGGGAATTTCAGAACACTTAATTGAAGAATGCAGCATCAAGATTGGAGGAAAGCTTATTAGCAACCTGCAACATGCAGATGCCAAAACCTTGCTTACTGACAGTGAGGGCTTGAAGCACAAGCTGACGAAGATCAAGGATTGCAGTCTTTAGTACAGATTACAACTCAGTGTGAAGAAGATCAAATCCTTACCACTGCACCAATAGGAAACACCCTAATAAATGGAGAAAAAAATTGAAGTTGTCAAGGAAAATATCAATTTGGGTCAGGTGCACCGTGGTCCTCAAAGTAACATCCTTGTTTTGCAACATTTTAAAAAGGTCTTCTGTGCCTGACCCAAACCATGCTATTCATTTACCTCACATGGATGTGAAAGTTGGACACTGATTAAGGAAGTATCAGTGCATTTAAACTGTGGTGCTGGTAACGAATATCAAAAGGACCATGGACCGCTAAAGGACAAACTGATCTGTCTTGGAAGAAGTAGGACCCTAATGCTCCCTAGAGACTAGGCTGGCAAGTCTTCATCTTACGCACTTTGGACATGTTGTCAGGAGAGACCAGTCTCCGGAGAAGGGCGCACGTTTGGTAAACAGAGGGAGACCTTAGACAGGGGGATGGACACAGTGGCTGCATCGAAGAGCTCAGACGGAACAATGGTGAGGGCGGTGCCGGTGTTTCCTTCTGCTATACAGAGGGTCGCTGTGCACCACCGAACATATTGCACGTTTGCGTATTCTATGTGCCAAGGGAAATATTAAGTGTTCTTAGTAGAAAATACCATGTACAACATGAAAATCATTTAAACGTTTGCCATTTTAGACCTGCTATTACACCATCTGATACACTTGTAGCGTCCTCAAAAGCTTATGTTTGACCACTTTCTGAAGAGAGTAACCAGGCGGATAAGAGTCTATACACCACTGAATCTGTCAGAAGACTGTTTCTAACATGGCTACACTATTTCACAGGTAAGGGACCCAGCCGAGCTTCGTGGAGAACAGAGTAAGCTGCAGGGATGAAATACCAAGTGTAAGCATTAAGTCAGAGGGCAAACCCTGGTTTGGGGAGTCATGATATCCTCACCACAGAAAGTCTGGAAGTAAAAGAACTGCCCTGGGGGAGGGGAATGGGTCTCACAATCAAGCTGTGAAACAGGCAGCAGGGTCTTACCAGGGCTCCCGGCCTTGGTCTCCAGCCCTGCAGCACACAGATGGTGCCCCAGCAATTCATACCGCACCTCACCCACTTACGTTAGAATAGCCCAGCTCTCCTCTGCGGAACTCACCATTTCCTCACTCCAGTTTCCGGGGGTCTCAAGGAATGTCGTCTCTACGTCCAAGAAGCCACTTCAGGAAGAGGGATGGGGGTGGGAGCAGAGCTCCGGAAGTTTGGAAACAAATAAACAGTCCACACGCCAGTCAGAGCTGTGGAAATCCTTCCTTGTGACTCACGGACGTGGGAGACGGCTGCCCCAGGCCCCCAGCGGCCTGGACTGGACTACTTCTCCTGCACCGACCTGGAGACCTGGAAGGGAGGGAGGATGGGAGGAAGCAGTGCTGAGGAAGCAGCTTCCTCCCAGACTCAGGGCAACACCCACCCCAAGGGCATCTCAACCCGAGGCAGAAGAGGCTCCAGCCTCCCAGCTCACACCTGCACGCTGGGCAGCTCCCCAGCCACCTTTCTCTGCTGTCTTCACCACGGATGGAGACCCTCCCACAGTATGGGAAGCCACCAGGCCTGAGCCCACGGGAAAGCTTGAACCCAATTTCTTCTTTTGGGGGGTCAGACGACCCTTTCATAGGGGTCACCCAATTCGTAACACTAGCAAAATTAGTTATGAAGTAGCAATGAAAATAATGTTATGGTTGGGGGGTCACCACCACATGAGGAACTGTATGAAAGGGTGGCGGCGTGAGGAAGGTTGAGAACCACTGTTCTAAGGAGTAACAGTGCAATTTTGATGGACCAACTTCTTCCCACTGCTTTTGCAATGAACACTTCTTTCCCTAGTGTTTCTCTTCCATCCCCCCCCCCTTTTATTCTCCAATCACGACACCACTAGTCGAAAGATTTCCACCCAACCTTACTATTTCTTTCCACTCCAGTTTGTCCTCCAGGCTGACCCTTATTCTTTAACCTCTCAGTCTCTGTGGAAATTCATATTCTCTCTCTCCCCTCCCCACTGTCTTTACACAAATGTGTCTCTTTCAGCACAAGCCCTCTTTTTATTATATAATGTAACAGCACTCCTGAAATTTTACTGGCACACTTATGTCTAGGCTTATTATTTGCATCATGAGGACTGTGTTCATTAAGAATAATCTCCAACCCACCCCAGAATTCATGAATGAACGTATGCATCATAACAAGATCCCTGGGATACCCACCTTGATACTGAAGTATGAGAAACATTGCCTTATCTGTAACCTGTCACTGAAGGAATGAGCAGCATTCTGTCCACAGAGACCCATTCAACCATCGACACCCGCACTGTATCACTGCACCACTTTCACGATCCCGAACCAATAGCCACTGTAGGCCTCCTCACAGCCTGCCTTCACTGGCTCGTAACAAGCTCCTGCCTCAAGTCCTTCTGTCCTGGGTGTTGTTTCCAAAATCTCCTACAGCACAGAAGCTACTCAATGCCCACCAGTGGCTGTCCACCGGTCTTCAAAAAGCCCAGGGTAGGCAGCATGGTTCTCCAAGACCTGCTGCCATTGCCTCCTTCAGCCTGCTTCATACCAAGTTCCTCGCCCACACTTGGTTTTCATCCCAAGATTTCACTTGCTTATCACTCCATCCATCATCTCCATCATCTTGTAGCTGTCACCGATTTTGTCTTGCTTGGATCGACAATCAACGCTCATGGAAGCAGCAGCACTCAAGAGATCAAGATAGGGTGTGTGAGGTAGATCAGTTGCACAGACCTCTTTAGCATATTGAAAAGCCAGGCTGTTACTTTGAGGACTAAGGTATGCCAGGCCCCAGCCATGGTATTTTTCAATGGCTTCGTATGCATGAAAAAGAAGAGGTCTCTCACAAGATGGATGTGGGGTTAAGGGGAAGAGGGAACCCCACAAAACATCACAGGTTTGGTAGGCGCAATTGCACAGCGATAATAAGTAGAGATTATAGTAAAGTCATAGAGAGCATGAGAGTTAAAGGATGGAGTCAAGTAATGGAGTCAGACGCAATTCATGGTAGCATCGCTCACCTCAGCTCCGCTTGATGGTCCTCGTGGAGGGGGCTTAGTTGTCAGAGAAGAAGCCGCTGCTTCGTCCTCCTTCGCCACCTTCTCCAGCCACCCTCACGAGAACCAGGGAGCCTCATTATTTATTGCTAACCACACATCATATCACTTTAGGGGGATCTGATTACAGAGTCATACATCACAGAAAGGGGCAATACAATTCATTCTAGAACAAGTTTGATCACTGATGTCTCATATAATAAAACCAACAACTACTATTCTGGGAGGCATGCAAGTCCCCCCATAGCATAGCGGACAATAACCTAAGTCACCGGCAGGGGTAGCAACATAGGCAATACAATCAATAAGAGGGTGATGACCTAGGGGTGTGCCCGTGTTTGTTGTCGGATAAAGAGTGGTGTCTACTTGATCTAGACAGCTGATAATGGCTACCTAACCTCGGTAATCCTTGGGCGGGTCTACCCTCTCTGGTATCTCCTACAAGTGAACAGACCACCACTATCCTTATCAGAAGGGAGTGGGTCTTCTTTAGGGTGAGTCAGACTAATAGTCTCGCCACTATAGATGGCTGATGTTAAGGAGAATAACCTCTGACCTATTTTCGCTGCCTAATGAACAGTCATTCTCAAGCTAAGTCTGGCATATATTTTGGGGAGACAACTTAAGAGAAATCCTTCTGTTCCTCACAATGGATGGACACAATGGCTGTAGCAATGGGCTAAATATAACAACACTTGTGAGGCTCAGGCAGGACCGGGAAGTGCTTCTTTCTGTTGTGCACAGAGTAGCAATGATTCATACCTCACTGGATGGCAACTAACATCATCATCATCATCATCATCTCTGATGTTTATCAAAAAACGGATGATACTGGAATCTCTTCTGCCTCATAGGACTATATACTCTTTTCCAAAAGAAATGCTCATTTAAAAAAAAAACCACACTGCATGGTATTAGGCCTACATAAACATGCATATAGCTAAATAAAGCAACTTTACTGAATCTTTGCTTTAATTATTTTCCTTCTCCAGTATAGCAACGATGAAACATACAAGTTTCCTCTAGTTCTTAAATGCTTCCTCACCCCCACTATCATGATCCCAATTCTACCTTACAAATCCAGCTAGACCAGAGGATGTACACTGGTACAGATAAGAGCTGGAAACACAGGGAATTCAGGACAGATAAACCCCTGAGGACCAATAATGAGAGTAGAGGTACCAGGAGGGTAAAGGGAAGTTGGGGTAGAAGGAGGGAACCGATCACAAGGATCTACATATAACCCACTCCCTGGGGGATTGACAACAGAAAAGTAGGTGAAAGGAGACACTGGACAGTGTAAGACACGACAAATAATAATAGTTTATAAATTACCAAGGTGGGGGGGGCAAAAAGGGAGGGGAAAAAGTGAAGAGCTGACACCAAGGGCTCAAGTAGAAAGAAAATGGTTTGAGAATGATGATGGCAACAAATGCATAAATGTGCCTGACACAATGGTTGTATTTATGGATTGTGATAACAGTTGTACTAGCCCCCAATGATTAAAAAAAATTTTTTTTCCCTTCACATGCAGTACCACCTACCTCTCGTGTTGGGTCCCTTTATTATATGTATCAGATGTCTCTGGCTTTTCTGTGTGGATTTTAAACTCTCTTCAGTGCACTGTAAACCCATGAGCAGATATGATGTATTTTGCTCTCTGGCCTGTGACACCAATCACGAGGAGCACACAGCAGTGATTACCACCTGTTGTCTCTACTATTAACAGCACTATCCCGGGCACTATCCGTGAACACAGACACGTTCTGTGTCTGCACCGTCCAATGCAGCAGCCACTAGCCCCCTGTGCCGATTTGGCACAGCACTTATGAGGGTCACTAAGGAACTGCCTGTTTTGTAAGTGACCAAGACAACAGAGAGGTGTGAAGACAGTCAGCACAAGGCAGGGCTTCACAGCGTTTTGTTTGCTGGAAGCTTGTCTGACAGGGAAACAGAGCTGGTCAAAGACAAGACAATATTCCTCTTGTTTGTCATTAATACGATTAATTTAACAACAACCTAATTCAGACATGCTTCCTTCTGCAGATGGCATGACATCTGAGCAGAGACGCTGGGGAGCGGTGAGGGCACAGGAAGAGCACCTCGCGGGAGGCAACATGGTGGTGACACCTGAAGTATGAGAACGAAACCAACCCCGATGGTTAGAGGGGTTTCTTCTCCTTAAAAGAAATACCTGGCGCTAAAGCTGAAAGGTAGAAGAACACTTCTTACCTTTGAAAATATATTTTTCAGCCTGAGTAAAGAGCTTTTGTAACATGTAAGTTAGAGAGCCAGCTACAAGCATGGGCAATCAGGGAGGCCAAGGTAAACTATATGGATCTTATTCTATACGTTTCTGATTTACCATGTTTAAAGACACTTTTACCCCGCTGCGTGGAGATGATACTTTCTTCTGACAAAAGAAAAGTTCAGAGGGTGTGTTCATAAGGTTTCAGAGTAGCCTGGATCATTTCCAGACCCGTAGTAAGTGGATGCTGGTGACATTTACTCAGTGGGAAGACCAGGTGAGCAGATTTGTTCAGGTGAGCTTTTAAAAGCGTTGCCTCGCACATGCTAGGCTTCAGAGCTATGCAGCCAGGGTGACATAGTGGGTTACGTGTTGGGCTACTAATCTCAAAGTCAGTCATTTGAAACCATCAATGCTCTGTGGGGAAAAGATGAAGCTATTTTTTCTTACGAAGAGTTACAGTCTAGCACAGGAGTGGATATATAGAGATAATAACTGATGCAAGGGTTTATAGGGGATGTAGGGGTGGGGGTGGGCGACAGGGAGGGTGAAGGGATTTCGGGAGTAAACAAAGAAGGGGGGAGGGAGCACTAGGACTGATTGTAGTTACACAACTCATTTTAAAGGTGATTTAATGATGGAGGGGAAAATGTTCTAAAATTGATTATGGTAACTATTCTTGATATGATTGAATGACTGAACTATTGAATTATATTGATATGTGGATTAGGTGTCAATAAACATGTAAAACAAACAACCGAACAAAAAAACCAACAGGGCTACAGTGTTGGAGGCCCTCGGGGTACCTCTGCCCTGTCCTACAGGCTCGCTCTGCGTCAGAACTGACTCAAGGCAGGGAGTTTGATTTCTGGGCAGGCCCTAGGTGGACCACGGCTAGGATTGGCTGTCTGAGTCTCTGGGGCCTGTACGCAGCCCATCTCTCCACCTGTAAGTTGTCTCCTCCTGAGACCAAGAGTCAAGCTGCGGCCTCTGCATCAGGCTCTGCTCCCACTTCTGGAT